TACTTAATATATGATATATCTCACTCTTTTTATTTCCTTGTATGAAGTACTATAATCGCGAAACTTTTCGGGTATCATATTTCAACGAAAATATCCGTTTTCACTGCTCTCGAATCTATTTCAATGAATTTTTTGTGTAGCGTATGTGCGTACAATGCATATATGCTATGCAAAAAAATCATTGAAATACATTCGAGAGCAGTCAAAACGTACATATGGATGTATCTCGCATATGTCAAAAACGATTACCGGTAGAACGCTGAAGTTTTATGTATGGGGCTGCTATAACATTCAATTGTGCACATCCTATTTGTGTTGCAATTGTCAGTACCAAACGTATATACATATATACATACATATTTGTATACATATTCCGGTTCTGTTAGCCGGCTTGTTGACCTCTGTTTTTTTATTCTTATATGTACGTAAATTGCGCATTTTTTCCTTTAAAAGTTATTATGTTGTTCTTGTGTTTCGGTTAAGGTTTTTATGACTTTAGTTAATCTACATACAATAGTTGACTTGACGATGCCGCCATTTGTTTACATTTGAAACTTTTAATAGAACACTGAAGTAAGTCAGTTAGAGCATCAACTTCAGTGTTTTCTTTTGCCCAGTGTGACCAGAAGTTAACTTTCAGTTTTGGTCACCGAAAATTGTATCTTCCTACCCGCTGGCCGAACTGCTTGTATTGTAATTGTAAACAAAAAATATGTTTTTAACTGCATTTGGTGTTTTCGTTTTTTTTTTTTTTTTTTTTTTTTTTCTGTATTTTACAATCCTCTCCGGGGGTTGACTCAGGAGAATTCCTGGGAAGTACTGGCTAGGATCTGTATTAGGGGAAAATTCTTTTAACTTGTAAAATGAATTAAAATTCATACATTTCCGGGAAGATATTCAATTCAGTTTAATTTAAAGAAAATTATATATCATGCTTAACTGCTTATGTAGGATATGTATTTAAAGCGAATATTTCTAAAATGAAATGACAGTAATACAAATTAAAATTTTAATCCTTTGTAGATTTTTAGATTACTTAAAGAGCACTTTCCTTCAAATCAAATTGCTTTATGAACATTGTCAAATGCAAATATCTGAAAAAAACTAAAAACGATCATTTTAATGACGCTAATTTAAATGTAAAGAAGCATGGTATTCCACTGAGGGAATATTAAATGCATCTGACTCTTCCTTTCTTACTTAACTATTCATGATACAAGATCACTGAGGTGTCTTAAGGCAAGTTTATCATTGTTTTTAAAATGAATCTCATTTAAATGCTTTTTAGAAACATTTCGCATTCCGTTTGATTGCGGGTACATTCATGATAAATAAAATATTACTGTATCTTGATTCACGGCTTATCAACTAAAAGAATATGCGAGAGGTTTCTTAGATGGGTTTTAATTCAGCAACTAATTGTAATTTACATTTTTAATTCTTCTTTCGAATTATCATATTCTAGATGAAATCATTTTTTTAAATGATCACTACATAGTTTTTAACACTTGGAAGAAGATGTTAATGCTTTTAGTTCGCGAAACAAAGCAAAACCCCATCTTGTCAAATTATGAAAGGTACAATCAACACATCTAAATATTTATTATGTACCAATAATAGTTGTAATTCGGAACTAAATTTATTGCCTGACATATGTTATCAAATATCATATGGCAATTAACAACACGCGTGATGTTATACTTGTATCTATAAAAAATATATTCTAACGGAGCAACATATAATATGACTGCACAATTTATTCTTCTTATATATGTTTAGGAAGATGTATTTCTCATTGTTTAAAAAATCGATTATTAAAATTACGTATTTTTTGACTGCATGCTTCCTGTTGCAAAGGTACTATTTATCATGCCAACTTTGAGTTAAAACATGAAAATTCCGTTACAAGTAACCCCCATTCTTACACCAGAACGAATACGTTTTTCATTTTGCATTACACTACAATAATTAGGTATTGTTTCACTGTATTGCAGCTAATCATCGAAATTGTAAAACCTAAAAAAAATAAACGATTTGTTGTTCTTCGAATTTGGTCTAAACCTATGCCCAAATGCAAAGATTAATAAATTTTGAAAAATTACTATTTGCGTTCTGTACATGAGAATATTTTCTTAATTTTTATTTACCTTAATTTTTAAAATTCCTTATAAATCATTTCTTTCACAAATGAGAAAATTTTGTATTAATTTGATGAGGAAAACGGAACCTTCATTTTACGATTTAAATAAAATAAAAAAGATGAATTTGTCTTCGTTTGTATTATTTAAATGTAGCGCAATATTTATTAACTTTTTTAAAAAGAGGCTGTCTAATCGGTTCTGATATCTATTAATTTCTTTCATCTCAGCTATGCGAAGCATTAGCATTAGCATGCGAAGCATTAGCATACTTTTTAAGAAATATTTTTCTAAAACGTCTATAAGGACAAAAATTATTAGTACTGTCTTAAATAAATGAGTTTAAGGAAATCTATAAAAATGTACTAGCTCTTAGCTGTTTTATTTATTAGAAGAAGAGAAACTGTATTCAACTTACAATAAATTTAGAAATGTATGAGCATAAAACTTGTTATAAATTCAGATCAGTATTCACAGCAGGAAAAATTAAGTGACTGCAAATCGTTCTCAGTATGTCGACCGCCGAAAAATAAAAGTAATTATAAATTCTCGTCAACAGGTTTGCGGAAACATTACCCATATATCTACTAGATATCTTTTCAGATATTCTTACGAATAATGTATAACTATTCGAGCTTGACTTTATTATTTTTTTGGAGAGAGGGAAAGTTTAGGGGGCTTAAAAATGATATTTGCTTTATGTGTTAAATTATTTGCTTTACTTAGGTGCGAAGTATGTATCATGATGACACTATGTAATTCAGTATATGAGTAAGCCATCAAATTGTTTTGAATGGGGCGAATCTTTCAGTCCTTTTTAATCGTACTTCGTATACACTACCGCACAGTATAAGATTAATCACTTTTGCAAAATCTAGCGACAATCAATGTCAGAGGTGAAGTATCCTAAACCGTACCTCTGATTGACCTTTCTATGTCCAGTCTTCGCACTTTTTGTCTTGAACTTTAAGTTCAATAAAGATTATACAAGTGGGACAAAAAGTTAATTTCGTTGAATTAAAACACAGTTGCTTGTTAAAGAACTAGTTGAGATGATATAATTAACTTTAATGCCAAGAAAGCAAAATGTACGAAGCCTAGACAATGTGCACCATAGTATTAAAATAACAACTTTGTAAATTCTTCTCATACTGTTGCGTGCGTACGGGTTCGTATGAGTATGAATGCACAAGTCCGTTAAAAGGTAAACAAAATGTATTCTTATCGCAAGAAATAAAACAAAATCCAGAAATTTTTCGTCACAGATGTTCGTACAATATCACAATATCACACAGTAATTATATTTTAAACTACTAAAACGTTAAATAGAACACAATTCAAAGTGCAGAGAAAGCTAATCCGATCTCACCGCGAATTCGATAGAGTCAGCAACAACAAATAAGTAAACAACTAAACTCAGATGTTTTTCTCCGGCTTTTTAAAGCATTTGGATTAGTTATGTGAAGCTTCTCGTAATTTCTCGACGTTTCTGGAAAGCAAAAGAATACAATTACGAGATATATATTTATTAAATATTAATAGCACGTGCTAATCCTGTATTTTTATTTTTTTCGGTGTAACTTTCGCTTAAAACTCTTCACTCGCTGTATTGCATAGGGAGATGAAAAACATTAATTACAGTTCTACTAAAAATAGCAACTAAATACAAAAAACGTAACAATATTTTGGGAATTTTGTTAGGAACTTACTTATCTGTGTCTGTACCTAATGCAAAAAAAAGGGAGAAATCTTTCTGCGTTTTAAAATGAACTAAAATCATATAAAATTATAGGATAAGAGAGGTAACATTTTTAGCAGTAATTTTTACCAGAAAGGATACTTTACGGTAAATTAAATTAATTAATAACTTTAATAAATTTAGTTCCTTTTACTAACACTAAGCAGTTCGGTCGTTATTTTTTTCCCATGATTGAGATTTCAAACGAGCGTTTAAATAGAGTGACGATGGAAATTCATTTCAGCCAGAATATCATTTTAATAAATTATTATCTTAATTTATAGAAAATTAATTCATTTAGCATTCAGTTTCAATAAATACGGTTGGTTTGGTTTGTTTAATTATGGCGGAGCACACAAGGGCTATCTACTAAAGGGAAAAGATGCCTTCGTGCAGGATGTTTTGAGGAAACTATCTTGTATACATATTGCACATAACAAAAATCACGAAAACGCCTGCGCTGACAGCCCATTCGCCGGGATTCGAACCTTGGACCGAACTACCAGATTTTAGCGACTTTACCGCTCGGGCCTACCAACGGCCGAGCGATAAAGTCGCTAAAATATGGTAACTAGATCAAGCGAGTATCAAAGTGTCATTTAAAACTAAATATTTTGTAAACGTAAATCTAATGATATATCAAAACTAAAGAGCTTATTAATTTGTTTAGTTCTCAAACACAGTGGTTTATTTAAAGAATCATAACTTTTTGTTCTGAGTGTATTTTAATATATTTCTAATACGTATGATTTTATATACCTTCCTGAAAGAAACAATATGTAATATATATATTCTCTTCTATGTTAACGGTTTCTCTAATGTCTCTCTATATAGATAAACAAAACCGTTACTTATATAAGAGAAGTCGTAGTATTTGTTCAATTTTTATATCCTCCCTGAAAAATTTGCAACTTCATATTGAGAAAATATTTTCCCAACCTGTGACTTTTTATATGCTCACGAATTAAATTAAGGTGAAGGGACACGAAATTGATATTCTAGTGAATTTAATCGCTTTCCAAGCGAAAGTAATGTGTTTCCATTTGAATCGTTTCAAATAACGTGATGAAAAGTCTTCTCAATGGAAGTGTACTTACATTTACTGAAGTCTTTTCTATTTTTAGAAATTGGAAATACGAGCAAGAAATCGATGGTTTGCTCTGGAGGCTGGAGCTGGAAGATGTGCAGAAATGTGGGCAGAACGGCATGTGTCTCGTGCACTCCGCCAGTAAGGTACGCATTTATTACTTTACGAAGGCTTCGATAAACAAAAAATCCTGGAAAACATTTGCGAGTTCTTTCATTTTATCTGCGTTATGTTTCGGCTAAAATGTATTAGTAGTGAAATTTCAATTTTCATCTTTCCTTATTTTTTCCAGGTAAGGTGTGAGATAAATGACACAATATGGTAAATTCCACAATTGCATTTTTGTCGGTTTATTGAACTGCTGTCAACGAATGGAAGCGAAACACGTCAAGTGAAAAGTTTAAAACTAGACAAATATATATATATATGCTAAGTTGCGATTAAAGTTGCTTTTTTCTCTGCTTTTAAATAATCGCCCTAGTATACGTACTTATCAAATGGAACTTTAAAGTTATACTCTATGTTTTAATCTAAAAAAAATTCCAAATCCTTAATTATATAAGAAGGTTAATTATTATAAGGTTTCGAAAAGAAATTGGACAAATTTCTTAGTTTTCTATTTAATGTATCATAAAACAAATCACATCCATGTTATGAAAAAACAAATAACATTTTTGGAACAATATGAAAATTTACCCATATACCGTTTTTGGATTTAGCTGTGGATTTAGTAGCATTAAAAGATGTATACAACAGTATGTATTTAATCAGTAATATAATAAATTTAGTCAAATGTCAGTGAACTCAGCTGAAATAATTAAACTGTAAAGCATTTATCATGAATCAAAGTTTTAACTACCGTATTTGACGGCATATAAGACGTACTTTTTTTTTTCCTAAATTTGGTCTCAAAAAAGTTACCTGCGTCTTATACGTGAAGGTCATTGCATTCAATAACTGTTTATTTGGCTTTTACGAAACATGAGAATTAAAAGAAACCACGCTATTGAAACTTTTTTCCCTTTTGTGTGGCCGGTCAAATACGGTATTTATTATTAATTAAATTAAAAACGCTGAAAATGAAGTAAATTATGCTCCCTTATTTTCGATTTTTGCATTCTATTCTCTTCTAAAAATAAGAAAAAAAATACCTACTTATTGCTTGAATAACATTTAGAAGATTTTTTTTATTATATCAGAAATATTTAATTAAATATTCCATACCTAAAATGATAAATACTTTAATATTATTATTATATTATAACATTGTATTGTTAGCTTTTGAAAAATCAATGATTTCATAGCAGTATTTTTATAATTGCATGATGTTACGAGACACGTTTTCGGACATCAGTGATTTAAAAATGGGATCAGGATCTAAGAGATATATTTAGGGGCTAGAGGAATTCAAAGATTTCAGAAATGTTTTTATGTGAAAGCAAACGACATACATGCCATCAGGAGTAATCTGAAAAAATTCAGATTCTTTGGCTTTGAAGCTTAACTTCCAAACTATAGCGGTGTAGGAAATTCCTATTCTGAACCCACAGGAATATTTCGATCACTGTTATAGGATTTGTTGATCCTGTTCTTACTGATTGGCGAAATTTCAAATTCTAAAATATTCTAAACTTTCAAAATTTGTTTGATAAGACATCTGATATTAGAAATGAAGGTTATATGCACAATAATTTTCTTGGTATATCATGCTATTTGATAACTTACTAATATTTGAGTTTTGAAAAGTTTGTAAACATCATTTAAATAATATCATATTTTTTATATTCGAGATTACTTTAAACCTGTTTCTAGGTACTTTTTTAAAAATAAAGCCACCTAAATTGTTACGAGCCACCTTAAACTGTTACGAGAATTATAAGACAACGCACAATAAGAAACTCGACAACTGGGAAGCATAAGTAATTTAGTCAACATTTCCAATAGTTAGAGCTCGAGTTTCGAGTATAATATTGTAAACTACAGTTAATTTAATTTTAAAATGATTTTTCATGTACTCTGTTTTAATGTGGTGAACTTAGATTAGAAATAATTGATATTACACCCCACGACGGTTTCTGAATTTTACAGGTTACTAAATCTTTCTCACTTCCTAAGCTTTATAACTTTTAGGCCACGATTTGGAAATGTATTATTGTAATTCTTTAGCTTCCAAATTTTTTGGAATTTCCTTTAAATGATAATTCAAGGAAATTTGGCTCAAAGAATCCATAACCACCTTAGCCCTTTATAATATTTAAAGATTTAATTAAATAAATACGTAAAACGTCGTCTTCCAAACTACTGTTAAAAAAGGCGTATAAATGAAAAAGACATGTGATCGAAATTTCAATTTATGAATGTCATACATATATTAACAAAAACAAATAAAAATAATTAACATTTTTGTGATGTAACATCACAGAAAAAATTACGAGAGTTCAAACTGTGTAATATTTAATACATAAATACGAAGGGTCATACTTTTTTATTTTGTGCCTTGAATAAATGCTTTTTTTTTTTTTTTTTTTCAAAATACTTTTAAAAAAAAGCACATTCCAATTTTTTTAGTTTCTTGAACTCTTCAGGTGTTGTTTGATTCAAAGTGTAAAAATCTGATGCTTCCTTTTAATTTGAGCCTTACTGACTTGTCTGGTCATCGGACGCGTTTTCCTATTCTATGATATCACACCATCCCTCAGCATGACTTGATACCCATGTCTTCCTATTTCTCATCGTATTCCAAAGCAAAGCTTCCAAAAATTACTAAACGGAATACTAGATTTCTGAAAAACTGACTCGGAAATTCTTAAAATTACGAAAAGGAACATCGAGAACATACCAGTGTAAATAAGGCACGTAACAGTTATTGTGAATTATAGAAATGAAATATTTGGCTACTAACCTGAGAGAAATGGCTGAGGACTAAGGCGAAAAGGTGTATAAAACTTATTAAAAAAAGTATAAATCAGATGTATATGAACGACGTTTCCCCTTATTTAAATAATTCAGTGAGTTAATAGTCATGCTATAAGGTATTTCTTCCACCTTCTTGGCATGCCTTCGTGGTGTCGTGGTCTGCACGCTCTTCCAGAGGTCCGCGGCTCGATTCCCGGCGAAGGTGTTGCTAATTTTTCAATTCTCCTGCTTCCAAAAATATATACCTAATGACTCTACAATGCATGTCAAATTTTAATAAAGCATTAATTAAAAAAACTTTAATTTATTATAATATGATGAATTAGATATGGCAAGAAGTATATTTATCATGTTTTAAATTTTTGCTCTCCAGGTAATTTTAATATATAAGATTAATTTAATATTTTAATATAATATATTAAAACTCTCTTCTTAATATTACGCTTTTTTCATATTGGTCAATGTTGGATAAATTTTTCTTGTATTTATAATTTAGGAATGACTATAATTTCAGTTGCCAGTGCTATAAGCTATAAAATGCACTAATGTAATAAAATTGGCTAAATATCTTTGCTAATTATTACACTTTTACAAGCGAATGTGAGAAAGATAAGTTTTACCTCAAAATTTGTTTCCTGGATAAAAGATGAAAATAAAATATGTGTTTTTTAGAATCAATCAAACCAAAAAGAAAGACATAGTTAATATAATTATAAAGCACGAAAAATGAAAAGTTGAAAGTGGTATATATTATATGATCATACAAAATGAATGTTAAAGAATTTTAGCGGTATTCATACCAGCAAAAACACAACTAAGAAACGAAAATACAGCCTGATATTCCATCACTTTGAATTCTTCAGAACTGCGGTGTACGTTATGGAAAACTAATCTAGATTTTTAGGAATTTTTTTAACAAAGCCAATAACGGTCTATACTGAAATTAATATTATTTTTACTTCATAGTAATTTTAGAATGCATACTATAAGTTCCATTTTGAAAAATTCTTAATTTCGTTCATTCTTAAATAATGCCATAAATATTATCACATGAATGTGTTCTCCTTAAGAGACGCAGGATTTCGCCATAGGATGTGACGTTGTTTGAAATTTTGTCTCCTACCTACGCTCTAAAGCAAGGATGGGAAAACTACGGCCCGCAGGAAGGTTCTATCCGGCCCCGCGGATAGAATTTTTATTTGCCGCTCCGAGGCAAATTAAAAGAAATATATATTTATATATCCATCCCCTTTTCTACTTTGTTTAAATATTATTTTTTCTTTCTTTTTTTCAAAAAGGACTGATGATTTTTTTCTTTCTCTATTTTTGTCCTACAAAACATAAATCGACAGAATAAGCAAGCACAGGCAACTTTCAATCGGCAAATTGTTAAAAACAGAACGTCTTTATGAGTTATAGCTATAGATTGGCGTCAACAAGCGTTATCTCTTTCTCGTGGAGCAGACATATAGGAATTCAAAATAGGCGAATTACACCTCAAACGTGGCAGACTGCGTATTTTAAGCTCCAGCGGCTTTTCCTTTTGGTGTGAGTTCTAAAATTATTGATTCCATATGGAAAGATTGCAGACATATACCATCATTGTGAATAGTGGTGAAATTATTGAAGCGTAGCTAGTGCTTGTTTGGGTTATTCGTAAAAAAATTCATCGGCAAAATGACTTAACGTAAAGTTGATTTAGAGTGTCGTGCTTTTAATCATGAATGGACCTGGAAATATTTTTTACAGTTATAAAAAATAAACTAGTGTGTCTCATCTGCAATGAAGCTGTAGCAGACTCCAAAGAATACATTTTCCGTCATTTCACTTCTAATCATAAGAATTCCAATTACGAAGCAATGTCCGAATATGAAAGAAAACAAAATGCAGAATGTCTTTGCAAAATTAGCAGATAGTATGATTTAAAATGTTTTCAAGAACCAACTGGATTAAAAGCAGCTACACAGCAAGTTATTTGTAGCATACACGATTCTAAAATAATAAAGCTCTCATTGCGGGAGTACGTAACAATGCATACCAAAGTTTGTGCGTTTTTGTCCGACAAGAAAAAATTTTGAGCTGTAAGCTATTCTCGAAAACGTCGACTCTAGAATCGAAGAGATCGATAAAATTTTACATCACAATTATGTGAAAGATTGGTCAGTTAAACTTTGCTCATAGCTTGGTAAGCACTGTTATAAATGATACTATGAATAGATACTAATTACGT